AGGAGGAGGAGGAGGAGGAGGAGGAGGAGGAGGAGCACCAATCAGTTTCCACGATATGATCTTGGACATATAACCACCATTTTCAAGGAGAACATCAGGAAGCACTTTGAAGTCCTGAAGCTCACTGACAGGGGAATTATGAAATGAACTTAAAGAAATTATTAAGGATGAATGTAAAAAGAGACTGCCAAAAATGAAGAAACAGAAGAAAGCAAACTGGATGTCAGAACAAACCGTGGAAATTGCCAAGAAGAGAAAAGAAGAGAAGCCGAAGCCGAAGCCAAGAAAAGAGGAAAATCTTATAAAGTAACTTAACAAAGAGTTTCAGAGGGTTGTTAGAAGAGACAAGAAGCAATATTACAACAACATTGGTAAAGATATTGAAGATGGAAGCAGACATGGAAAAACAAGGAAAGTCTTTCAAAAGATCTCTGAACTCAGAAGGAGGTTCTAACCTCAAATTGACATGCTAAAGGATGCCAGTGGACACATAGTAACCGATTCAAAGGAGATCAAAGGAAGATGGAAGGAGTATACTGAAACACCGTACAGAAGAGATGTCAATATCCAAGATACCTTAGAAGATATTCCCTACCTACAAGAACCCTCTAGTACTAGAAGATGAAGTTAGATCAGCACTCTGGTCATTACAGATAGTCCTCGTTTAGCGACTGCCTCATTTAGCATCTATTCGCAGTTATGACGGTGATGAAAAAGTAACTTTGTGACCAATCCTCACATTGATGACCTTCGCAGGTCTGTAAAGCAAAGGGAAGCTGATGTCAGATCATAAGCCCAGTTGCGGTTTCACTTAGCAACTGCTTCGCTTAACAACCGAGTTGCCAGTCCCAATTGTGGTTGCTAAACGAGGACGACCTGTACCAAGTTGGAAGGCTACAGGAATTGATGGAAGACCCACTGAAATATGGCAAGCAAAAGAAGAAGAGTCAGTCAAGGTTCTAACCAAGCTATGGCTACACAACTGGAAAATGACACAGAAGCCAACAGATTAGAAGAGGTCCAAACTACATTCCAATACCAGAACAAGGAGACTTAAAGTGTGCAAACCATTGTACAATATACTTAATTTTACATGCTAGCAAATAATGCTTAGGATCATCCAACGCAAATTAGAGGCCTACATGGGAAAAAGAGATGCCAGATGTTCAACCCGGCTTTAGAAAAGTCCAGAGAACACGGGACATAATTGTGATGCTCGCCGGATAATTGAGAAAACCAAGGAATGGCAAAAAGAAGTCAGCATGTGCTCCATTGATTATAGAAAGGCCTTTGATTTTGTTGATCACGTCAAGCTGTGGAAAGTGATCGGAAAAATGGGAATCCCATTTTGATAACAGGTACAACAACCAGCCTTAGAATTGGCAATGAAGATATCGAAATGGTATAAATAGCTTCTGCCTTTTAGGATCAACCATCAAGAGCCAAGGGACCAGCAGTCAAGAAATATGCTGCAGACGAGCACTTGGTAGAGCAGCTATGAAGACCTTGGAAGAGATATTCAGATGCTGGGAAGTGTCTGTTCCTACAAAGATCAGAATCATGCAAGCCATGGACCATCTATGGAAGCAAAAGTTGGACTTTGAAGAAGCAGGATAGGAAGAGCATTGACACCTTTGAACTTTGCTGTTGTTGTTCAGTCGTTAAGTCGTGTCCGACTCTTCGTGACCCCATGAACCATATTGCGCCAGGCCTTCCTGTCCTTCACTGCCTCCCTG